TTCCCTTAATTTATGTTGCATTATTGATGTACAGAATGCCGTACTTGAATAATGTAACAGTAAGGCTCTTAAAGAAAGCACTAGCACTAGCTTTAATGTGTGTCTATAAAGATAAGAAAAATATATTTCCTAAGTCCAGCAGATTTCAAACAATAAATTTTCAAGTTACAGGAATGCTGGCCAAAGGAATTTAAAGTTGAGGTGAGAAAGAGGGGGGGAAGACAACACCACAACATTTCTTTCAAAATGTTAATGAGATACTGCCTTATAAAGTGAAAATAACCAACAAATCTGACATATGAACAAATATTATGAATATTCAGGAAGTTTAAGATGCTGATTCAACATTTTCTAAGAGTGTACAACTTTTGCACTGATCACACAAGCCATTATTTTTCTTTTCATCCTAAGTACACTTCACTGCAGTATTGGTGTGTTGTTGCAACATATGCATTGAATTGCAAGCATTGTAATTCATCCAGATGGCAGGAAGCTTTGGAATTGTTACTTCTATGGTACAGATGTTTAACAATCCAGCCATATGGCTCCACTAAGGCAGCCTTTTCAGAGATTACAAAAACTACACTAGACATGCAACCTTGTAAATTTGATTGGAATGTTCACATTGCTACGATAGAAAGGCATACATTGTGCATTGCATACAGAATCTATGAAACATTAAAATTCTGTTTGTAAAAAAAAAAAAATATTTAAAACTGAAAGGAATCGGGTCCCAAATTTGGAAAATTTCACTAAGTCAGCAATTAAAACACCACTCTTCATTTATTTTTGAAATTAATGAAAGGTGGCAGACAGGTTAAACTAAAAAGGTGGAAAAATAACCACATGCAAATATAATAATGTCTCTAAACTGTGGTCTGAGTGAGCTACCACTGTAGGCGACAAATTGAGATTCTACCAGTGAGACCAGGAATTTCTCTATACAAAGATTTGTCAACGTCAAGGAGACCTAATGATGGTTGTGGCAATTGCAATGTGGAAAGCTGAATGTTGAGAAACAATCTGAGATCAATAACACCTTGGCCACAAAAGGAAAGAACCATGAAATGGACAATTTATAACTCGACTGAATTTTGTCAGCTTTGAATGGCAGGTAAATGACAGCAAATAAGATTGTTAAATCACTAATCTTGTCTTTATTAAATCCTGTCACATTGCATAGATTTATACATTAGAAAGACAGTGTAGCATCTGAGAGTGAAAAATAAAACCATTAAAGCCTAAAGTATCTCACCCAACGAAGAAAAGGTGAATTCCCAAATTTGTGTTTTATGGTTGCTGTTTTTCTGCCATAAAAACAGATATAAGTAGATGCTGCTTGGTCTCCCATCTTTTGTTCTGATTCTTGGGTCTCTGACCCTTTGTTATTTAAGAAAAAACTTCTCTTTTGTATAATCTGTAGTGCAAGAATAAGATTAAACTGGACAGACCGAAGAAAACACTGCCCTCTCAGACAAAAAGGTATCCATTTAGTACAGAGGGGATCTTTCCACCTGACATGTTCTTAAAGGGAAGTATTCAATTATGATCTACTGAAAGAGCAAATTCATGGAAGAGCCATGCAATAATCCTGGGGTGTTCTTTTTGGTGGTTTTTGTTTTTGTTTTTGAGCAGGAAAGTATTCAGATACAGTATAACAGATACTAATCTATGCAATATAATTTTAAAATATCCTTATGAAAACCTTGAAGGGTAGTTGAACCCTGTGGCTGTGTAAAAAAACCTTCTGCAGTTTATGCTATTGCTCTGCCAAAAGCTTACCTTAGCAAACAATGTATAGTAAATCACAGTTACTCTGATTTACTGTCCACTGTATGCTGTTTGTTTTCATGGACAGCTCAGTGAAAAGCTATGCCATGTATAAGCACATTCAGAGATGGGGAATCGTTTTGCAAGATTGCCAGAATGGTAGAAACCATTTCTAAAAACATCAATGGAAAAAAAAATGCAGATATGCATTTAAAGCACTTTTCAGGTGGTATTTTTGAATACCATTACAACCCAAATATATTCCAAGCCCTTTATAGGCACAAAGAAGACAATTTCATACTGCAAAACTTTTTAGCCTAAGCAGTAGTGAACTGGCTAGATGTACAGCTTATCAGTCAAAAATTGAAATGATTTGATCTTGTGCCCAAATTCCACATGGCCTTGAACGCTTCCAGGGATGGGGCATCCACAGTTTCTCTGGGCAACCTCTTCCATGGCCTCACCATCCTCAGTAAATAATTTCTTCCTTATATCTAATCTAAATTATATTAGACCTAATCCATTAAGGAAGTCCCAATAGGACAACAAAGAAAAAAACATATATCTGGCATTCCTTTAAAAAAAATTGTAAATGAGAAGGGAAAAGATCTAAACAGTAGCTGAAAGCCTTCATTCCTGATTTAAAATCCAAGAAAGAGTCATTAATAGAGATTTAAACCCAGCCTTCAATAGTCTAAACATGTCACTGTTAATTACAAAGCTGTTTAACTTCTGCAAGAAATAAGGGCTGCTATTAATGAAAGAAGAACCAATTAGCCTTTAATCTACACTCTGTTTTTTAATCAAACTTTCTTTTGATCATCAGACTCACTGCGGGATGTATTCTCTCCTCCCCATGTTGTAGTGGCTTCCATGATTGCTAATGGAATAGATTTTAAAGGGCTGGCTGAGTGAGGAGAACCTTCTCTGCAGGGCTGGAACTTCCTTTCCTTCACGTCAGTGAAGCTTAGTGGAAGAACACTCATCTCCCAGCCACGCTACCCTACAACAGCACAAGCAACTAGGATGATTTTTACAGTGTCTCCCGACCTTTCTCTTGTACCAGATGCTTTTAAATGGGCAGGCGTTGACCACAGCCAGAGGAATGTGGGACAAGGGTACTAGATTGTCAGGAAAGAACAGAAAATACTGGTTTAAAGAAAAGAAAGAAATGGGAAAAGAAAACTAGGGAAAGAGGGCAGAGAGGTGCCACAAGGAATGAAAACGGAATTCACTGCTGACTCCAAAGAATGATGAATAGGAGAATTTGCATGTTGGAGCAGGAACATATGGTGAAAGGAAAAACAAACAAACAAACGACTAATGGGACTAGGCCTTGTGTAAGAAACAAAAGGGAAAAGGAAGGATCAGTTTAGCTAAATACTATTGCGCCTTCAAGTTATTAGTTGCAGGGCCAGAGGTGTTTTTTTTTTTGTAAGATGGCTTCCTGTGGTATTAAAATAACAAGACCATGTATCTACTATATCAGCCATGACAGAGAACTTCTTTTTTTACATCATTTCCTTCTCAGCTACACTTGCTCAGATCTCCCAGGAAGAGGGATAAACAGAAAATGTCCCTGAGGCATGAACTTTGCACATGTGACCATGCAGATAATGAAATTTAAGAACATGATTCTTGCAGATGTAAACAACAGATAACGTAAGCGTCACCTGCACTCTATCATACATGAAATTCTTGGTCTTAACAAAAACCTACTGGCTGTTCTGTATTAGTAAACCTTTCATGCATGGTCAGGCAGCAACAGGAAGAGATATCGAGCATTAACACAGAAAAAAAGCACTTGAAAATAAATGCTAATAACCTATGAACCTTCTCAAAGAATCAGAAATTCTACAGATTTCTACTGTTGTTACAGTAGAAAATTATGACAATTAAAAATAATTATTATTATAATAATAGATTGCAGAGGAAAGTGAAAATAAATATATTCTGTGACAGGCAGGATTTTGAGCTACAAGGTTAATGTTGATAATAACAAGTACCTGCAATAGCTGCTGAACCAATACTGGCACTTCCAAAATTTAAAGGCAAGAATGTTGCTGAAATCCTCCCTATGCTAAGACCATGGGTCCCTTTAAATATTTTTCACGACTTGAGTCACAGCACTCTGCATGTCGGAAAGATTAAATTATTCCTGTCTGTAAAATAAGGCTAATTCCAATGCCTTATCTCAAAGGACTGGTAATTTTACACAGTCCAAAGCCTCTTTGTAACTGATTGCCATAAAGGTCACTTAAAATGAGATTAGGGCCCATTCATGTTTTTGATGTGCTCAATATTACAGTATGAGTACAAGATAGGTACTCAGATGAAAACACCAACAAACTATGTCAAAATAGCTTTAAAGCAGTGTGTCAAGATGTTTAAAGTTAGCTGGATAATAGTATCATTTTCATATTTAAATTATTATATGGCATTCTAAATCTGTCTATAAAATTTGCATTCTGATGCTGATCAAAATCTCCTTGTGTTTTTCTTGCATCATAATCTCATTCTAACAAGATTTAGACAAAAGATGCCTAGCAAATGCATCTTGTTTCAGAACACTTAGCAAGATGCAATATTGGAAACATGATATTAATGTACAGGACATTTTTAATTAACAAAGCTCTTAGGTATTGCTGAAAGATCCATTTTCTTTTTTTGTCACCCTCATACTGATAAAGCACACTCCAAGCTTTTTGTTTGTTTATTCAGTGCAGTCAGAACATTGCTTTTCTGACATTTGTGAAGCTTTAAAAAGAACAGAATTATTCACAGGAAGCGTATGAAGCACCAGGAGTCTTAACTGCTCTTACCTGGAGTGAGAACTTTAAAAGTTAAGAGGCAGTAACTTTATGCCTCTTCTTAAAATTATACAATAGTTCATTCCTGAAAGTCTTCTCAGTTCCTCCAGTCCTTTAAGGTTAGTGTATACTCAGAAAAAATACTCCCCAAAATAAGGTCTGATTCAAGAAAGCACTCATGAACTTTATTAACTCCATCCCCAGTAGTTTTGGCAAAAATTTTCCTAAGGTGCTTGAGATGCATACAGTCGAAATGTCCTCTGTCTGCAGTTCTAACTGAAATCAGTTGGACCTGAAGGTTCTGAGCAGATCTGAAAATCCACCCTTATTATTACTATAGCAATACATCTTTAATTTATCTACATCTCCTCCAAAACTTCGCTTTTAATTGACATATCTGAATCAAAGCTATGTACATACGTATACAGTAGTCTCCGCTTTCGTAATATCCAGGGCAGCACTGAGATCTTCGCCGATACATAGTTCTTAGTCCTCTTCGATATGCTGTTTTATAACTTATTCTAAATTGCAAGACAGAAAGCCATTTGACAATATTGAAAATCAATGCCCACTGTTGGAATTATATTTGTGTTAAATTATACTAAGGATAGCATTCAATAATTATTTTAAAATGCATGAAAGCTTTTGATATTAAAAGACACAATAAAAAAAAGAATCAATACTTGTTTTGAAGCTTGAAATATAAGTTGTATTATAAACACAGTACTCATGACAGTCAATCACCATAGCCCTTCCTAGGACTGCTATGTTAAAAAACAGCCCCAGTCTTAAAGCAAGAGCAAGGAGTTTCCTCAGGAATAAACAATTCATTTCTGCTTATCAGCAAGGTCAGCTCAAATTTAATGCAAAAATCTCTCAACCTCAATGTTGTGGAATGCTAAAGACCCTCGTTATTGTACCAAACACATCTTTCTGTATATATCTGTGTTAGACTACCACAAAAGCTTGGATAACTAAAAAGTTATGTGAAGAGATGAAAAACCAAAATAAAATCAAAAAAATCCAGAGTTCAACTCTTACCTGTGTCTAGTACACTTGAACCAGTTCAGTATGTCGGTACATCTTGTATAATAGATCTGATCAAAAGGATGAGCATAAGATTCCTGTACTGTCACCGCATAGCTAGGAGCAAAGAAAGAAAGTGAAAGATGCAACATGAAAAGCTTCAGTTCCCTGTATATGCTACTCATCTAATTCCAGTATGAGAAATAATTAAATCAATGATCTTAGAAACTCTGGGCCTTGTCCAAAAACAAGAAAAGGGCTTCTTTAAACCACAGCTTTTCCTGAAAGTTTTGGAAATGTTTCTAACGTGGGCTCTGTAAATGAACTATTGGCTGAGTATGCTCATGAACTATAGGCTGAGTAATAAACCACTCAGCTCTGGAAAAGAAACATGCTACTAAAATTCATGGTTGTTTTAGAAGATGAAAAGGGCATTTGGTTAAGTAGATAGTACAAATTTTAGAAGAGAGTTAAGCATCATGTCTTTAAAATGACTCAGTTGCCTTCCAGTCTAAGACTGTTAATTTTTGCTTTTATTCCACAATGCTAATAAGAGCTCAGATTAACTAAGCACTGCTGTGTTTTGTCAGCATGATGGGATCTTCACACTTCATTTTTTGATGAAGAAGCATCATTACTTCAAATGTTGGGTGCACCAATCAAATTGGATAATTTGTAAAAGGCTCAAGAGTGTTTATTTTTGAACTGCACAAATTTAATCTGTTTAATTTGTAACAGAAACAAGCTCAGAACTAACTGAAAACTGTAACATCATGAGTTAACAGGTATCTAGATTTGGAACCCTTTGAGATATGGTTAGAATGTAATTATCCATATTTGTACAAATTCATAGATATAAGCAAAAACTGGACAAAGTGGAATCACAGACCTCCAACAATACTTACAATTCAGCAATCTCCTTCCCCCAAAACTGCTGATTTAGGCACCAGGTACTATTAATTACTATGACTGTATTTAAAGTGTCTGGGACTGGTACATGATTTGGGAACACAAATCTAATTGACTTGCTCATCTCAGTTATTTTAGAATATTGTATTGCTCTACAGTAACTGTGTGTGCACTGCTTAAGAGACTCGTAATCTCAGGTTCCTATCTGAAAACAAGCTCTACTTTATCGGATATACAATACCTTTAGAGAATCACACTGAAATCATTCAAGGCAGGGTCGAGACCCAGGAATTAGATCCTCCAAGTCATTCATTATATTGATTGTCTTAATCATCCAAGTGATTTCCTTCTCATCAATGGGTCTGTTGATGTGATTAAGCCCTGTGAGATTGTACCCGTAAGGGAACACCACAACATTTGCTTGGAGGGGCTGATTGGCTTGAAATCGAATATTGGGCTGTTACTGCCCTGCTTGTCATGTCCCTTCTAGACAAGCCAAGATCCTACTAGATGTTGCTTTTGTCCTCTGTCACAATTTGTTGTGTTTTTGGTTTTTTTTTAAAACAATAATGCTTTTTTTTTTCCACTAATACTAATGCCAAAATGTAAAATACTTCCATTGTTCATTATTAATGTTAAACAGCAACACTCACAAATCTTGATTATTATTTTATGATCCTGTTTGTTATCCCACTATTGCTCTAACAGTCTTTTCCCTTTGATTTATTAACATCTAAGTAACAAAGTCATCTTGGTCAGTACAACCAATCAATTTTGGTATTTAATTTTTGTTTCTCCTTGATTGGGTCTCTAGGTTGCTGACTTTCTTCAGACAAAATCAATATTTTATTCTTGTGCTCTGAATGCACTTCACCTCAAAACACAGACTGAAAAATCCTATTCCTGAACATCTATAGTCTTTGCTTTGCAGCTTCGCTACCTACAAACAGTTAATTCTCTTGTTAAGGCTTCTAAAATCAAAAGACAGTGCCATTAAAGTATGTTTCCATATTTACTCATTAAGGGGGTTATTTTGCTAAAGTGTCCAGTAATTCATGGAACCAAACCACAGAATAGAATAGCAAATTTAGCAAGTTGAACTTAAGAGTACAGCAACTTCAGCCTCTGCAAACAGACCCTGCGTGAATGTCAACCCTATCAAAGCCAGTGGCTTTCTAAGTACTTGTAAGAACTGTCTCGCACAGATCCACTTTTAGGACTAGGACACTAACAATAGAGAGAACAGAATTACCAGACCCTTTAATTCTCAGTGCTTTCATGAAGCTACTCTTTGATGCTGGCATGAATTTGGCAGATAAAGCCACAAAGTTCAGGGCATACTGCATAAGCCTGCATGTTGCACCAGGAAGGGCTTAAAACTTAGTCCAAAGCCCCAGCAGTCTTGCTCAACAACAACCAGAAAAAAAGCAAGACAGAACAAGGGCACTGTTTCTCTATGTCTCTCCAAGGTAAATGAAAAATGTCTGTGCAGTCCTGTTGCTGAAACTATGGAGGAGCTTTCCAAAGTACAACAAAGTAGACAGGTATTACAGCATTGTTTGATCTATAACTCTAGATTTTGAACCAGTTCTTTTAGGATGGTGCAAATACACAAAGGAACTCAGGCACGCCATGTCTTTCATGCAGATCCACGTTCTTTTGTGAATCAGGACAGTATTTAGCACTTATTTTGCTTTTTATGATGGCTCTTACTTTGCCTTTTAAACGTATACATCTGAAATGGCTAGTCAAAAACAAAAAAAAGGCATGTTTTACATTACCTTTCCCAATGACTACAAACATTTGGATCATCTGGGTTTAGGGACAGAGTAGTTGTGAGCAGAAAAGACAGAAAAAGCCCTTTCAGAATCCACCAGAAAAGCACATGGGCCACCATTGTTGTACCTAAATAAAGAAAAGAAAGCATAGTCATTACAGAGAATATTGAAAAAAAACAACATCCTCCTAGGCCTTTTCATCTTTGTTCTTGTGCATATCCAAATACTGTGCAGTTTGGTGCAAGGTGTTGATAGCACCAATGATTCTTCCACAGAACATTTCTGATGCTGATCATTTTTATGGCTGCCTATCTGTACTAACAAAATAAATACCACAGGCATTAAAACCGACTGTTCTCTCATCAGCCTATAGGCAAATGGAACAACACCCAAATACCCCTTTGATTTATTTAAGTGAGGGTTTACATGTGTCAATATAGTACGCTTGATCTCAGACATACATGTACACTTATTATATGACTGATGGAAAATCAATTCACTTTTCAACTCTTAGATAGAGGAATCATTTAGAATGACAGAGGTCAATGTATTGGGTCACATTATGCAAAACACTAAACGTGAAATAAAAATATTTGTGTTGAAGCTAGAAATAGATTCTATAAAACTCATCAGGTGCAGGTCTCTTCATCATCTTACAGTTCACCTATTAAATATACCGAGTAAAACCTTCTTATTACTCATTTGGGGTTTTGAAACCAAAGTATGGTGTTTGCCTAGAGCTGCTCTATGTCATCAGTCAAAAACAAAATAGATGAGAAATAAGAACCTGCTTATAAATATAACTGTATTTAGCAGATTAACTGATGTTAATCTATTAAAAGTTAAGGCAGTAAAAATATTTTCAAATATCCATTTCAGACATTTACATCGTCATATAATCCAATGCTCAAATCAAAAGTCCTATAAATTAGTCTTACTCCTGGCAACAAGATTGCCCTAAAAATAGGTTGAATCTTCATATCATCATCTAAAAAACACATGGCTCATTGCCTCGTAGTCCAGAGCAGCAAAAGGAATGTTAAGGGCTTTACTCTGCATGGCACTGATATACAGCCCAGTATAAAGAAGTCATCACAAAGCAGAAAGAACAGCAGAGGGATAGCCAGGAAAGCTGATCTGAAATTACCTCCTGATTCAAAGCCTTCTAAGCTAGTTCAAGGACACGTATTGCTGTTAGCAGATTCGAAGTCAAGTTCCCAATGGGAGTAATAGCTCAGCTTTGAAATTATTCTTAGAGTTCTGCTAAACCCAAAGACAGGTCTTAAGCCATGTAAGTTATATTAATGTTAATTAACATGATTTAATGTTCTTAATGAAATGAATTAAGTCTATGAGTGACTGTTCTCTACCTGCAGGCTGTTTCAAAGCCTCACAACACCAGTGCCAAAGCTTACTCCAGAAATTAAGAGGGCTGACAAGGAAAAGACAAGATCTATACTTCTGTTCATTGAAGAGATGTTCACTACACGTGTCCTGGATGATATTTCTCCATGGAGAAGTGTCTTGAACGCCCAACTTGCAGGTACTCATGGGACAAAAGTCCAAAAACCTAATGCTCAGAACCCAAGATCTTAGAACTTATTTGAAAGTACAACAGAACTTTCTTTTAATATGAGATGTACTAACAGATGTGAACTATCAAGTATTAGGCTCAACAAAATGATGGTTTTAACACAATCATCTTCAAAAATATCTTCAAAATTATCTTCAAAAAGCTGCCTTTACCATACTACATTAGCTACGATTTGAATAACACCAAATTACAGAGGACAAGTTCTACTGAGCACTGTATTTATAGGTTGCAATTTTCCTCCTTTGTTCATTCTCTACACTTTTGATACATGGCAATACTGAACAAATAGGACTGGAGGAAAGGGCGTCCAGTCAACAGAAATGGTCAAAGGTAAAACTGCTTAAGGAAATGCAGTCCTTAAGAGACGGGGTTTTTAAATCAAAAGAGTTCTGTATTCAGTTTGGTAACTTCTTGAGAACATCAAGAGCCTCAGCTTATCCCTAAATTAATTAAAGGAAGAAAAGCAGTCTGCCTTCTACAAACAGAAAGTGAGCTTTTCCTTATTGAAATAAAGCAGCTCTGTATTTGAATTCTGTAATTCCCAAATATCTTAATTTGTTCTTAAGAAAACAATGTAACAGTTTAGTTTTGAAACCAAACAAACACCTAAAGAGTTATTATTTATAAGCCTCATTAGCACTCATGGTATTTGTTTAGAATGTCTTTGAAAGAGGATCAAAATTGTATTCCAAACTTTTAATGTTAATGTTATTTTATTATCTGTTTATAAATGAACTGCTTTGTGCAATGAATTTTCTAACCTTGTAAGTCAGATCATATATCAGAAACATCCAGCTCTCCAAATACAGCAGAACCTCATTTATCTCAAGTGTCTCTTTTTCTAACTCAAATGAAATATTTCACTTTGATCACTGTTAATAGAAAAGACCTTATACCAAAATGGAATGGTTACTATTACAAGATTCAGAATAAAACTCTAAAAATAGGAACACATATATTAAAAACCAACATCAAAAAAGAATCCAGTAATGACACGTAATATGATTTTGTTTCAGCTTTTATTGTTCAGTGTAATAGATACTACATTCCTGCACTGCATTTAAAGTTTGGAATGTATTCCCCGAGGAGGCAGCATCAGTATTGCAGGGGGACAATGTCTGTAACTTCATTAAAGATATAGCCAAACATTTCCAGGCTCAGCCACTGCCGCTCTCTTGAGGACAGGCAGCCTTTTGAGTTTAACAAGAAAATAAATGACATGAAGGTCTTCTGTGCAGTCCCTAAATGGACTCTAACTTTTTGTCTCTCCAGGCCTGCTTATTATTTTCAGGAGTGAAAGAAGTCCATTTAGGTACAATTTGGCAAGAAAGGGGGGTGTTTACATCCAAAATATAATCTGGTGATTTTTCACAAGTGTCTCAGCGTCTGTTAATTGTAACAGATTAAGATGGGTATCTGATAACTCATTAAGCCATTTTCACTTGCCTTGCTTCTGTTGGAATGAATGTCAGTACCACAGCTCTAATACTGATACAGCTCACTGGTTCCATCACAAAAGAAAGGAAACACATTCTCACTGTTAACCCACTAATCATAGCTATAGAAAAAATAGTAGGTAGCAAGTCTGTGATTTATTTGTCCATGGATTCATTTTACAAAAACCTTTGCTGAGCAAACTGTGCTGGGTTCGCAGAGACTGGAAGATGCAGATGATCATTTAAATTGCATGAAGTGCATAAGAATGTGGACAAAACAGGCTGTTACACTCATTTGTAAAACAAGCAGAGGATGCCAGTGCCTCACAGGATAGTGAACAAGATGCAAAGAAAATACAACTCCAAAGAATCCTTGCTAGGTAAAACAAACATTCTCTGAGGCTTTTTCTATGTGATGAGGACCTGGCTTTGGTAACAGTCTTGTAAAAGAGGACTACTGTATTTTAAGTAGGTGAGAGAAAAATGAAATAAAAAATACAGATTAAGTTTCTCCTTTGCTTCCTTGGCTGTCAGACTAGAAAATTTAACTAAATATGACCAATAGAGAATTTCCTGTTCAGGAGCAATAATAATGAAACACTTCATTTTGACATTTCTGTCATAAAATATTTCATAACATGACTTGCACTTTAAATTCAAACCGAATTTCCATTCCACGAGGAAGTTGTAAATTGAATGTTTTTGTCTCAATTTGGAACAAAAGAATTTCTGAATGAGGCAAAAGAAGTATTTGGTGTCCAGCTGTAATCAAGGAAAATATTTACAGAAGTGTTTTTCAGTAGCATTCGGTACTCTTAAATTCTTATATACTTTTGAAGATCATTCTTTAGATGATTAAATGCCATTTAACTGCATTAAACGTCTATGCAGTCAGCTAAGCTAGCCTGAATTTTTCCCACAAGCTTCCATGCAATGAATTTAATGGAGTCATTTTAAAAAGTCTTACCTCAAAGTGCTAAAAATTCCAAATAGATCCTATTTTTGCAGACTACCAGCACAGGAAGACACACATCATATTAACAGGATAGCAGAATAAAGCTCTTCAGAAGTTGCTTGGCACTGTGAGCAATCAATAAAAGAAAAAGAAAAGAAAAAACAACAACAACAAAAGTAGTCAAAGAAAGTGTTTGGGGGAATGGAAACAAATTAAGACAAAATGAGATAAACAATTGTAAATACTTGCATATCATAAAATAACCGTGCTTTATCAGGCCAAAGACCACTGTCCTGCTTTCAGCCAATTGTAAATGTTTAGCAAAGGGTAAAGAAGGCAGAAACCAGACAGAAATACTTCCCTTTTCTACTCTTCTAGTTTCCTGCAATTTGCAGCTTTGTGACTTCTTCAGCCACAAGTGGTATCTTTGTGTTTAATAACCTTTCACGGATTCTCTTCCAATAATTTGTCTAATCATTTTGATCTGGTAAAATGTAAATTTCAATCCACTAAATTTAAATGTTAATGTCAACAACATCTTCTGACAAGTCTCAGATCTTAGCCATGTACTGTTATGAAATACTTCCTTGTTTTTCTGCCTGCCACCTCAGTTTCATTTGACAGCTCCTTGCTCCTCTGTTAGCAATCAATGACTCCCAGACTTTGCTTCCTATCATTTCCAATCATATAAACAACATTTTATTTGCACATAGACTTTTTCTTTTGCCATATCCCAACACAGCAGTTCCATTTCTTTCAAAACGTTTGATAAGGGACCTTGCAAAATCCTTCTGGAAACCTACCTCAATATTCCTGATCCATGTTTACTTCAAATAACTTTAATAATTTATGAAGCCTCTACAAAGCCATGATGATTCTTCATAAGTGTATTACATTTAGCAAGAGTTTTGCTAATTTTGTTCTTAATTATGATTTCCACCACATAAGAAAATCTAGGTGTATCAAAATTAAAATGTATTCTAGTATTTTTATGTGAACAATTATGGAAAATACAAGAGAATAGTTAAGGCAGAGAACAAAAAGTTGGATTTCACTGAAGAAGCATTAAAGTGACTGAGTGTTTGCTGATTACACTATTTTAGTCTCTAAGTAGTAGCAAGCTTCCAACAAGCTGCCCTCTGTGGCATTCCTCCTTCTCATCCCATCTGAAATTTTCATGATAGTTTAGGCAAGGGATCATTTAAACACACTCTTCGTTTGGCTCTACATCAGATTTTGTTAGAAACAAGCTGTTATGAAAGCTAAATGAGGCCATGAGTTTCAAAACTGATCAGGAATTTTTGGATGCCTCCACTTGTGATTAATAACTTGAGATACCATGTAAGGGCCGAATAATAGGCAGTGCTCAGAATGCACGCTAGGAAACCGGTTGCTTTAATCCTGAAGGTCAAGAACTAAGCCACTCAGAATCAGTAGTCACCTCTAAAAATCATTGCCATCACCAACGGAAATATTGCCGAAGACAGACTGTGTTCTTGTTTTGTTTTCAGTGACAATTTAAAGCTGCTTTAAGTAGATAAACACTTGCAGGAAGGATCAGGTACTGAATATGAAAGCACTGAACGTGATTCTTCTCCTCATCTAAGTGCAGAGAAATTCAAGTGGCTGAACTGGCAGAAACACCAGACTATCCGCTGGGTTGCTGTGTTCCTTCTACTGACACCTTAATGTGATTAATACAGGAAGACATCAGACAAGAATCCGCCTTGGTTAACAAATGATGATACATGTATTTCTGTTAACAGGGTCTGTTTAAGCCTCTAGGAGTCATTATATGAAGAGCAAGTGGTTATCCCTTAAATGCAGCGCAAAACATCTGGTCTATAATTTGTGCTATGAAAGCCACGCTGTCAGCCATATACTCAGCTCTTCCACGTTCTGCTTCGGCACTGCCCCCTTTAAGGTTTCAAGCAGGCAGTCCAACAGCAGGGAATCCCTCCAGCAGATACAGAAGTCGGTGCTATTTGCAGATATCCCCGATACCATTTTCCAACACAAGTTTCCTGTCACCTGGAGGTGACAATGACAAGAGGAGAAACAGAGCTAGCGGGGGCAGCACAACCGCTTCTGCCTCTCAGCAGTTTCCTTCACAGTCTCCTGTGAAGGCTCGCTGCTCAGGACATGCTCACACACTCCTTCCATGAGTCCAGTTCCAGCAGTGGCACAAGCTAGGAAAAGACTGACAGGACATAAAAAATTGGCATTTTTCTTACCTTGCACTTAAATTCCTGCTATGGAGACTAGCTTGTCACAACTTTGTCCTTTTAGCCATATGGGTAAAGATGATAAATGTAAGCAGGAACCATAACTTTTCAGCATAAAACTATTCTTTCCTCTCTGTGAAAGTTAACCACACTCCTGTGCTGCTCAGCCAAAGTTCACGGCAGAAGTTTCAGTGGATGCTTGGACTGAAACAAATTAAACAAAGATATGACATTTCCTATAATTAACATCAATGAAAGTACGATTTGGAGGTTTTTGCAGTTTATGGGGAAGTTATCAAGGGAAAGTTTGAAAAGTTGCAACCTGAGTCCTGTTTGCTTAACCTTAGTGACACCTCCCTCTGCCACATCAATCACACTGTGAGGAAATGCTGCTCAGTACCACTAAAGGAACCAGTCCCGTGTCCCAAGACGTAACTTAGAGTCTTAAAGACTGGATAAACACACCAGGCTCCTGCCTGCTAGAGTGCCCTGAGGACTCTCCCTTATATTCCTTGAATCACAGTTGCTCAGTTTTCCAAAACTGGGTAGGGGGCTGATCTTAATATCAACTGAGAATACAGATCTCATAAGTTGCATTGAATTTCTAAGCTTTAAAATATAATACAGTGGAGCAGAAAGGCAGGTGCTGCTCTGTTCTCTCTGGTGACCAGCAATAGGACCCGAGGGAATGGCTTGAAGCTGCAACAGGGGCATTTCAGGCTGGATATCAGGAAAAGGTTCTTCCCCAAGAGGTGGTCGGGCGCTAGCACAGGCTCCCCAGTGCGGTGGTCACAGCACCGAGCCTGTGGGAGTTCAAGAAGCATTTGGACAATGCTCTCAGACACATGAACTGATTTTTTTTTTTTTTAATTTTTTTTGGGGGGGGCGTCCTTTGGGGACCCAGGAGTTGGACTTAATGATCCTTGAGGGTCCCTTCCAATCCAACTTGGATACTCTACGATTCTGTGATAGCAGCATGGTATTCTACAATTCTGTGATTATTTATGTAGACTTCTTACGAAGTCTGAAGGTTTGCTTCAGCGCTAAGCACTCCTAAGCTGGCTTCCACTGGAGTCATTGGGAGGTTGGCTAGAGAGTAAAGCAGGAATGAATAATGAAGTAAGCTCTTCTCGATCTATCAAATGTTATTTTTGGAAGCTCAGGAGTGTTCCTTCAGTGCTCTCAGAGGAAAAATGGGTCAAAGTACAACACAGACATGCCACTAGGCAAGCAATTTAGGCAATTAGTTTAGTTATGGCTGATGAAATATGTTTGTAAAGGCAAAGGCTGGAGTATGCATCTAGGACTCAGAGGACCTGAGTGTAAATCATCCTGGTGAAGACTTCAGGCGTGACACTGGGTTAGCAAAGTAGGCTGGGCTGGGGTAGCTCAAATTTCTCCTACGTTCTGCGCCCAGCATTTCCTGCAGGCTCTGTGCCCTCAGAGGCACCTAACCGATATCGAACACCAGGCTTAGAAACTTGGGGTGAAATGTAGGGCTTATGTACTCTCAAAGTCTGATTATCCACAGAAAAGTCAAAGGAAGAGAACTGACCAACCTTCCAGGTGCTTGAAGAATGAGCATACTACAAATGAAAAAGCGAGCAGATACCGAAGTGATAAGGTACGTACACAGTTGGCATTATCCATCTGCTGTATGAGATCAACATCAACATGCAAAGAAAAATAGAAATTCATCAGTACTTACACAAATTCAATACACGTGATATACGTGCGCACTCGTGCAAAGCACACACACCAATCCACAAAGCTTTTACTCAGGAAAACACTAAACTTTTTTCTTAAATCATTGGATAGTTAATCAATAGTCCAGCAGAAATACAAGGAAAATATTATATTAACAACACCTAAAAACATTGCTGAAATAGTGCCCAAATCCAGATAATTGCTGGCTTCTTTTCAGAAAGGTCAGCAAGGAAAAAAATTATCTGTGATTTTCTGCCCATAATTGTGTACTTGTACTCCACTACCAGTGTCAAATTGGAAGCCAGCCCTTGAACATTTGGCCCTTTAAGTTATTACTGCAAACCCAGGACCACTGAAACGTTAGGGTCCCTTTAGAGCCCAAGCCCTGTCCAAGCCCTGCCTGTCAGACAGCACAGGGAGATGGCTGACGATCTACTGGCTCTTAGTGCCAAAAGCAAACTGGCAGACTTTGAAGGCAAATATCCTGCAGTATTTCAACAGGAGAAGACCTTCTGCAAGGTAAAAAATCCTGGGGTGGTCATCTCTGGGCCTCCTCAGTTAAAATATGGTAAACGAAAGTCAGAAAAGGCCCCTTTCCATACCTGTCTTCCAAGCCCTCCTACCCCTCACCTCGCTGTCTGACTGCTGGGGAAGCCAGCCCTTGTTGCAGTGCTCCCCATACACAGCCTCGTCTTTTTGCAGAGCGAAATTTAAAGCTGCTGAAATCCTATGGGGAGTCGCATTCTCTACTGATTTAACACTGTATTTATATTCACTATCCCATGCATATTTCAGGTATTCCTTCACATATGTTACCTCAGAAGAGAAAGAGGAAAGTGAGCTGCCACACAGCGAACAGCTCTCTCCTGAGAACTCCGGTGAGCTTGCTTACGTTTAGCCACCCACTCCATCCCTGTTCAAGATGCCAGACAATTACAACACACGCTTCTTACACAGTTACAGCAACAAAAGCCTCGTGCCTCGTACCCCAGAACACTCAGCCATCTAAGCATTATATGCATGCCCAGATGAGGAATAATATGATGAGGATTTTAAGTGTTTCTCTAAAAAAAACACTTCTTCCAACAGAATTTTCTTAGAGCATTTAAAGAACACATGAGAAGTTGGTATGAAAATAGGAGTAACAAGAAATAAAGTATAAGGATGTGTAACATATATGCAGTGGAATAAATTAAGTATGATTTTGTGAAAGTGTTGTGAAAGTAAGAAAAAAAGTGGCTTGGAAATCTAGAATATCCTTTGCGGTTGTATTTTAAAAAATTACTTCAATTTGTCAAGAGCAATTGGCCTCTTCTTTGTGTCTTCATTTATCTCAGAGGAAAATAAAATGAAACAAACAGCAAAAAAGTCCCAAGTACAGTGAACAGCTGAGCCAGGGACAAATTAAGTAACGCAGATTGATGGCTGTTGATCTACAGCAGTACTATCACATCCCAATGCTACATCTCATATTTCATTTAAAGACTCATCTCTTCTTTTCCAGAAACAGTGTGATATTTATGGGAGAAGGCTGATTTGCAAGCCTTGGAGATGCACTGAGAATCCAGATTCAGTTTTTCCAATCTGGCTTTAAAGTTGGTGAAAGCCTTGAACTTTGAAGGTAGCAGCCCAAATAAAATGAAACCAAACACAGACAGAAAATGAACATTGAATCTAAACATGTATTTTCAAGAAATGCTGCAGGCAGGGCAAAGCTTTTTATCTTCAGTTTCTTCATAAGACAGTAAGGAAGTAATGCTTGTCTCCTCTTCATCTATACCTTTACTAACCCCACTGGTCCAATAGCATATATCTTCATCTGTTCTCCGGAGTTTTCCCAGTGCTTTATCCTCCGTGGCATTCTCTGTTACAACAGCACTCAGATGTTCTCTTCCTGCATTCAATTTTCCTCTGAGCCTCTTGAAATCTTAATCTAAAGTTTTTTAACTTCATAGCTATTAAAACCATTGACTGGCCCACAGAGAATATAACTTTTTCTATCAAAGTCTGCTAAACATAAGATAAATGTTAAATCAATTTTTAGATTTCTAATGGCTTAAGAATTAGAGTGGCCACTTAAAAACTGCCAATTTTACTTGAAATATGAGAGGTTTCCTCAGAAGCTGCAATAATCCTTTGTGCTTTTCTGCGCGTCTTACAGGGCATATCTGGAACACTATCAATACTGGAGGAATGGTATTTGGTTCAATCATGTTGAAGGTAAAAGCCTGAAGTTAGGAGCCCATGTAATTTATCTCCTTTTCAGAGCATGCACATCTCTGTCTACCTGAGAACAGGCTGGTTACTTCTGGTGCCCAGAAATGGCTATAAGCTCTTAGGTTTAGGCATCCAACATGGAAAATAGGCTGAGCAGATCTGCCCTTCTCTAGGGCAGGATGCTGATGCTGTGGGGAAAGTCATGGTGCGTGAACGAGGTCTTTGCAGTTACCGTTGGTCATTGCTTCGAGGGGGCATGCTGCAGTTACTGCTGTGTAACCACCCTGCAGCTGCTCAGGTGTTAACAAGGCACCTACTGAGAGTACTAAAGTTAATCTCCCAAAAAGCTCAAGATGCATATTAAAACGAGTAGTCAGGTTTATTCCCTTGCAAAGTCCTGACTCCACATGAGATGTACACCACATCCTTCCCATGCCTTGGTTGTGCTGTGAACCAGGAAGGAGCTGTCTTGTGCTCAGAGGCACTCCAGGAAGCAAAAGACCCCTGCAATCTAGACTTAGACTTGCATCTCTTGACCACCCACAGCTGACTGTAGACCTTAAGCTCTATAACCAGATGGGCACCGTGAACAGTCTTCATTCAGTTACACAGCAGTTCCCAACTGCACCTTCACTACAATGGGTCTCCACAGGCTGAGACAGGCAACAGCAGCATCTGCAAATGTTCTCTGTCACAATATCCAAGTCTGAAACTTCTTGGCCTGTTTTTTGCTCTGTGCAGAGCAGAGAGGAGAAGAGGGAGTGGTCAAAACCCCCAGCAGATCCAGACAGTCTCCCAGAATATCCCTACCTTTCCAGGAACCATCATACAATTTTTAAGAGATGTTCCAAGACACTGACTGTTAGAGCAATAACTGGAGAGATAAATGAGAACATGACCCCAGTCTTATTTAATTTTACATCACTATGCAAAGCTCTTGACTCTGCTGTCTCCATGACCTACTTTATCTATTGTTTATTTCTTTTCCTTTTTTTTTTTTCCAGGAAATTGTTCATTAAGGATAAGAGCACCTGGCTTACAGTAACAGGGCACTGTGCAAAATATCTGTCATGAAACTGAGAGAGAAACATTCATTAATACATCAGGCAGAGAAAACCCACAAAGAACTGAGGGGCTGCAGAGGAATATTTTAGGCAAAGAAAATGTCGGGACCAAAGTCTCTACTGGTATAAATGGCTGAAATCCACAGAGTTCACTGTGCCAATTTGTACCTGGAGAGAATTTGGATCTACCGCCCAGTCATCAGATACAGATGGTAC